AGGAGTCCATTCTGAACACATTAAGTCAATGCTGGTTACATTGTTTAGTTTTAAATGATTATGTATTAAGCTCATTTTTATTTTGTTATACAATCATTAACACATGGGAACTCAAATTGGAATGGAGAAAATTGCTTGCTTATGTTTAGCTCAGTAATTATGAACATCTAAAGGGTAAAGAACTTTAAAATGAATTGGGCTTTAATAAAGAATAGCTGTTCACTTTTTTATGACTCACTTCAGGAAACTAATTAAGGCTTTCTCTAATGCTGTACCAAAGTGTTCAAATCCATCTACATCTTCTCAAGCTTTGAAGGCTTTATACTCAAACATTCAGCATTTGCTTGGGGTAAAGAGATTCAGGTTCAGAGCTATGCTAGTTCAGGGCCTAGTGATTCTTTTGCAGTAATACTTGTTCGTTCTTTTGAACTTTTACAAGACAGCTTTTTAATGTAGCATTTCCTAAGGAGTTTCTTCTTATTAGTTAATAGCATCCAGTTGCAAAAAGGCATCAATACTGTTTCTGTAGTGGTACATTTCTTTAAAAGAAATTGTGTGACACCCACCCCCACATTAAGCTCAGAGAACTGGAAGTAGATTTAAAAATTAACTAGTTTTTTTTAAAGGAATTATAAGCATCTTCCAGATACCCTATTTTGCTCGGGTAGACTATGATTGGCTGATTAATAGGTCACATGAACAAATGACAGTTTGCTTTACTCCTTTTATGTCTATTGCTGAATGCACTTATTTCAAATTAATCTATCTGCAGTAATCACTACTCCCGTGTTTTCTGTACTAGCAATTATTAATGCAAATTAGAATGTCTAAACTTACCCATAAGCATATGCTGGAATCAGATAAAGATCTACCCTTCTACTCTTCTTTAACACCTAGTAGGAAAGTTAGAATTCTAAGCAATTATCCATGTAAAGCGAACTTGAGCATGGGAAATTATAGGTAAATTTTATCAAATTATATGTTGCACACAGATGTCTGTTACAGTAGACTTGTAATGAAATTGTGACAAATTCAGATAAGTATGATTGGATGCTTATAGCTAGACAAAGCTATAGCACATTAGTTTTATTACTTGATTTGTATTTGTCTGTTTAATGGTATCATAACTAAATCTTAAAATTAATTTCAAGATGATGTGTGAAGTGATGCCGACCATCAGTGAGGCAGAGATTCCCTCAGGGGGAAGTGGAAACCGTGGTTCAGGTTCTCCCCTACAGTCAGATGCTGATTCCCATTTTGAGCAGTTAATGGTATCCATGTTGGAGGAACGTGATCGCCTCTTGGACACACTGCGGGAAACTCAAGAGACTCTTGCATTAACCCAGGGTAAACTACATGAAGTTGGTCATGAGAGGGATTCTCTACAACGACAGCTTAATACTGCACTTCCTCAGGTATGATTTGTTTAAATGAGAATATTTTTAAATTTAAAAATGAATAATATTAAAAACAATATTTTAAATTCCTTTCCCTAACAATAAACCAAGAAATAATAAACCACCAAAGAGATTGTGTTCTTCAATAATTAACTTAGGAAAATAAAACACTATTCTAGGTTCTTCATTTAATGGGATTTCTAGGAATGATGAAGCGAAATATTTAATATGTTTGGACAAAGTTTGGAAGGTTGCTTCACTGAGATTTAAAAATTAGTTAAAAAAATTTTTTTTTCATTCTGAAGTTGTGGGCAACAAGATTGTAAGACTTTTCAAAGTGAAATATTTCTTAGACAATTTACTTGCTACTCAAAAAGATATCATAGAGATAGCTAATGATCATATTTACAATGGTGGGATTTCTCACAGAGAACCTGAACATTAAACCAGTGATTGACAAGAACTATAGCTTTTTAAAATAAAAGTAGAGTAGAATGACAGTTCTGGCTGGAGGAAAGATAAAAAGTGATTACATAATTAGCAGCTGTAGCACCCTGATGCTCTTCTGCATATGAAGAATTGCAGTAATGCTTTGTCATCCTAATCTGTCCCTGTATCAGGAAAGAGATGAAGTTCCAGCTTTAACATACAGTTGTGTTTCTGAAAGATGAAACCATGCAGCATATTGTGGCTTAGCCTCTATAGTCTTAGCTTTTTTCTCTGAAATTTCATATAAACGGCTTCAATATATTGTTTTGCTAGTTTTGCCATAAAGTAGACACTCTAGTGTTGGTATGTATTTTCTGCTAAGGAAAAGTCTAAGCTTCCTATAAGAACAACTTGTCCAATGGCATCCATTGAACTTCACACCTAAGTAAAGATTTCATCTTTCCTCTGTAGTAATAACAGCACAGCTGTTACAAAACTGTAATTTTTCAGCAATATAACTTCCCCGATATTTTGGTGGTGATTATAAATATAATATTGTGGAAGAGGGTGGTGATTATAAATATAATATTGTGGAAGAGGGTCTTCACATATTAAAAGATGGGAAAAATCAAGAATCAGATGAATTGGCTCCTTTATATAGATTCCTAATAGCCATAGCTTGATTCCACCATATAAATTATAATAGATACATGAAGTGTTATCTGTAGTTGTGCAGATGAGCATTTTTGCGTATGCAAATACTGTATGTGTATGTATACATATGTGTATATATTTATACATGCATACATATTCCCATGAGTAAGGGCAGACAGTAACAATTACATTATTAACATTCATAAAATAATTAGAACATAATCAGTTGTACAAAGATGGAAAGATTTGGCATTACCTACCATGAAGGAATGGTTGATGAAATTGACAGAACTTGCTGAGATGGACAAACTTCTTTGATTAGAGAAAGGACAATATCTACATTTATTGGTGACTGAAAATCCCTTATGAACTTTTTGCATAAAAATGAAAAAATGAACTTGTGATTTATGGTTTTGATGATTAGATAGGATAGATTATAGAAAGAAGAAAGTCATGATGTAACTTTAGAGAGAGAGGTTAAATATAATAAAATGAACTTGTGATTTATGGTTTTGATGATTAGATAGGATAGATTATAGAAAGAAGAAAGTCATGATGTAACTTTAGAGAGAGAGGTTAAATATAATTGTACTTATAATTGCTGTGAAGAATATTGGAAGCTACGTCTTTATATCTTTATATCTATTTTTTGTATTCTATTTTATTTTCTTATTGCACTTTCAGCTTTTTCTGTGATTTCTTTTTTTCATTGTCTCTGTTTTAATTTAGTTTGCATTAGTTCTTATTGCTTTTAAAACTTTTAATAAAAATTATATATATAAAAAAACAATCAATTGTGATAATATAATAGCTTAGTATTCGGTGTCAATTAACACAAAATAAATTTTAAAAAAGCCTTCAGCTTGATACGAACTACAGAATTTACAGTTAAGCATCTTGATAAAAGGCTTGTAATTCTGATGTTTAGCTAGAATTGATAAATATCACTGAAAAAAAGCAAAGGAACAAGAATACAGTTTTCTCCCTAGTAAGTCATTATTCTCATTTCATTGATGTTAATAATAAATTGAAGATTTAATTTCATAGGAGTGGGTCTGTATGACAAGTTACCTTTGGTCAGGCTCATTTCTGAAGAAAATCCAATTGACTTGGAATGATAGCTAGATGCTGGATACAGTGTGGATCCTGAATTCATGTTTCATTTAGGAAGCCCTGATGTTGTCCTACTGACAACTATTGGAAAGCATCAAACAAATTTTAGTTCATTTTTTGCTCTGCTTGATTAAATTAGATAAAATGTGCATGATTAGAAGTCCCTTATGTGACGTATGGTAAAGGTGCCAGATTTCTTTTAAAAAATTGAATTGAAAATTGGTGCATGTTTTTTTGGGTCTGGGTGTTGTCAGTTAAAAAAACCTCTCAGAACTAAACATAACCTTTGCATTCTTTGGTGGATTTGGGGGAAATTTGCAGACAAAAGTATTTCTTCTGAGATTATTACTAGAAGAAGTTCAGTCCTTAGATAAATAGATTTAGGGTATCTTGTATTTGAGGGTTACCCCCCCAAAGAGCATGTTTATGTCCCTTTCTTTTGTTTTCATGGCAGCTACTATGAAAATGAAGGAATTTGTTCACCCTTCATTCTTTCTGGATTTTTCAGAAATTTGTAAGAAAAAGCATAATTCATAAACACTAGGCAAAAAAAATGTAAATTTACTTAAGGGGGGGTTGGGGAGGTCTAGTTAAAATTAGTGAAACACAGCTGTCACAGTCATAAAAATGAAAGGCTTGAAAACTATTATAGTTTTCGTCTAACATAGATGTAAATTTTTCTTTTGAAATTTAATCTGTTTTTGAAATAAATTCAAATATTTGGCTAATATTTTTGTTTTAAGAATTTAAGGTACAGAGCCACATACTTCTTAGTGTAACACTTTTAGTAAGGGCTTATTTTAAATGCAGTCCTAATTAAGGATTTTGTTTTGACAATGTATTGTATTTAATTTGTGTTCGAAACACATTGAAGTAAAAACTCTTCTGTTGTGAAAATTGAAATTAGAGATGAATAAAATATATTAGTAGAGCGAATGAATTGTTTTATTTTGGAATGCATGGTAAGACTTAGAAGAAAGAATGTATTTAATTACTGCTATGTCAAAAGAATATTAAAGGCAAGATTGATATATAGCTACACCAAAGCAAACGGTGGAGCAGACTGAATAAATGTAGTAGGGTGTGTTTAAGGGACGATATTTAATAATCTGGATTAAACTTGTAGCATTTGCTTAAAAGATAGTTACAGGTTTTGAATGCCTAAAAGCATAATGGAGAACCATATTTAATTGGTAACTAAGGTCCAGTTATATTATGAACTTCAATGTTAAATATAAGTATTATAGCATAAGAAATATAAACCTCAGGGCTCATTGGTCTGATGCTTTTTAAAGGTAGATAGCTTTTTGTGTTGAGAGGCACATTTGGAATTTTGAAAGGAGGCAATAGGTGCTTAAAATGACTGCTATGATGTGTATGACCCTCACCTGTGTTTCAGAAGAAACCCTCTCACCTCCTTAAGTAAGCCAGAATACTTCTTATCAGCTCAGTCATTTGCTAGACTTAATATGGCCAGTCAGATGCAACAGATTTTATGATGAGCATTTGAGAAAAACATCTTTTGTGTATATCAAATGCACAACTAACTTTTAATTAAATGACAGTGATATTGTTACATATAGCTTTTGCCTGTAATTTCTTTCTATTTAGCTCTGCTGCAGAAAATATACCTTGGGATATTTGCTCTAAGTATAATCACTGAGTTCATAGTTTAATCCATATCCAAATAAATTGAATTATAAAAGATTTGGCCATAAGGAAGAATTGTAAGGCATTTGTGGTAGCTTAGAATGTTAAGCCATAACATAACTAAAGCTTGCTAGTTTTGATTTACTCTGTGGCATGTACCCCCAAAATTGTAGTTTTTTCACATCCTACTTGAAGAGATCACAACTTAGTGAACAATATACACAGTATATTGCATATTGCAGTTAAAAAAGATACAGTTAGTATCTTTACTGGGAAAGATGGTGTTGGGAATGGTTTGAAGGATACTATTGCAATGTAAAGTGGAACTGAAATCTAACCTAGTAAGTTATTGAATATTCATGATATGTATTTGGCCTGTTTTATTAGACTGTATATCTGCTCCTTTGTGACAGTCATTTAATAGAATATGCAAGATAGCTGTATAAACAAAACAAAACTTTAGAAACTTTATAAACAGAACTTTAGAAACCATATTGCAATTTAAGTGCTGCCACTGACATATTAAATTTTACAACGGTTGCAAAAACACCAGTAGACATATTTTAAAGACTGACTGGAGGAGCTATTTTATTCAGTGCTGTCATTGAGTCTCATGTGTTCTAAATGGATAGGAGTGCTGTTCATTTGTGAGCTTATAACTAGAGACAATTTGGCCATAGTAGTTCATGTCCTAATAATATCTTCATTTGATTACTGTAATGTGTTGTATATGGGGCCGCCCTTGAAAACAACCTGGAAGCTTTCACTAACTCAGAATGCTGTAGTGAGAATTGTAACTTAAACGGCCAAGCAGAAGCATATTACATCAGTTCTGGACAAGCTGTTCTATCTGTTCATTTGCCTCTGGGCACAATTTAGTGTTTACCTTTAAAATCCTGTAATGACTTAGGACCCAAGTCTTTGCCAAAATGCTTCTGCAGATGCCATTTTTCCTGTACCACAGATTGTCAGGAAGGCTCTTCTGCAAGTACTTGGGTGCATTCTGTGGAAGCAAAGGAAAGGCATGAATGTCGATTCATGTATTAGAAGCATTGTGTCTAGATTTAATACAATGTGCTCCATATGCTGCTGACCTTGAAGCTTGTTGAGAAGCTTCAACTAGCATAAAAAATTACTCTTAAGTTTCCAAGAAAGGTATAGGAAAACCTGAT